AATGGAGAAGTTCGCCTATATGCCATCTTTCGGCAGGAAAATGCGCGGTCCACCAAGACACGGTAGTGAAATCAAAACTATCTAGTCCAGAGAGTGTCAGACTATGACACGTTTGCGCCCCCAAGTTCTGGGACGTTAAATCCATCCGAAATCATCATCGGAACTCAGGATTCCCAAACGGGGGAAAGGTGTGCCTTACACTTCGTGCGCGGGTTTGATTCTTCATAGGAGCAGCCGTAATGTTTGGACCCCCATGATTTCATTAGTAAATTCTTTGCATTGTTATAATGTAAAGTCCGGATCTCCTTTATCAGTAGCAACAAGTGTAACGGGTTTTGTTTCCTCTTCTCTCGTCTTAAACTAACATAGAAATAGTTCGAGGTCTCTGGTCTTGCGACGTTGATGGTGATATGGCTGACGAAGCTAACGATCTGAACAATCTCAGCGTCTAAGTTGTAGTAAGTTGTGCTAGCAATTACATCTGCCGTAGATTCGTAGTTGCAAACAAAATCTTGTTTTACTATTTCGTGAGATATCTTCATCTCTTAGGTATGAGAAATCGAACATGGTTCCGTTGAATCATACATCCTGGTCCTAAATCCTCATACGGAGTATCTCTCCCACTGAATGATTGAAGTCGAAATCGGCAACGAGCTTGTCGAATGCAGCCATCTTCTTGTCCAATCATGTTGATGGATCCAACAGAGTAGTCGTCCTCGTTGTCGAGTGTGTCAGACTTGCGCTTGGCACATGGTTGCATTCGCCTTGTTCTTCTGCGATCACTTGACCGCAGCATTGGAAACTTTCTTCATGAGGACGAGAGTTACTTCTTGGTGTAGGTCTGGCGTCGTCGTGGACTTGCGTTTCAAGTTTTTTCTTGTTGTCGCTGGTTGTTATCGTGTCAGACGAGGACTGAGACTTGGCCTTGAGCTTCTTAAGAGTCATGCAGTAGCATGTTATGGAGTGCTGGACTCATGGTAGTCGCACCATTTCCTTCGTTTCCTTGGAAGGAGTGGTCGTTGTTCGAGTAGACTGTAGCTTCTTGCTTTATGTTTTCTTCGTAGAGTACTTGCTTGGCATCACGCCCTTGTCAAAGCTCTTGGAGTATTCCATGCGTTCACAGAATCCAATGGTTTCTCGTATCGGAGTGAAAAGATCGAAGTCGTGTTCGTCCATCTTTCTTCATCCACGAGCGTGAGAATTCCATGACAAACAATAGTCAATGACTTCGTCATGGTTCAACGTTTGGTTGGCGTCAAAAAGGTGGTAGACGGAAGTTCCATCGGTTGTTCATCGCGGCAGGAACTATAGTGACTAAGCACCTTATAGACATATGCATCAGGCTTACGCACTGCGGCGGATGAGCTTCTGCTTTCAGGACCTTGTAGGGACAGAACCGCTTCGATACAGGCATTTATGCAAACGTAATGTCAGCGTCGCAAAGCAGGCTGAGCTGCTCCGTTCAGGCAGGCCTGGAAACGGCTTGGAAAGGCGGCTTCGATCTTCACCCCACGTACGTACGCGTGGAGAAATGCCGTTAGACTGCATTCTGGCGCAAGCATTCCAACGTTCTTCACGGTGGCCTGCACATGCTAGATTCGTAATTGCTCTTGCAGAGCTAGAGGTATTTCCTTGAGGGGGTTATTTTGTCGGTAGGCGTAGCATGGCAGCCAACGAAACCTTCTCCATGCGTCCACCCACTTGATGGTCTGACGTGGATCCCAATCCATTGATGATTGGACTTCTGAAGGTGTACTTGCGCTGTTAGCATAGCTGGAACATGCAAGGTAGTGGTAGAAGCGAGAATCGTCGATTTAGCATCACATTCGAGTAGATGAGGGAAGATTGGTTGTCGCGCCGCTTAGACTCGAAGCTGGTACGTCTTTGGAATTTCATGGTGAAGAATAGGTCGAGGTAGCTGAAAGCTATGTGTGTTTGTTAACAAAATGACACTACGCATAAAAGCTAGTGTAAATGAACTTTTCGAGTTTGATTTGAGTATGAGAGAATGAAAGTATGAGAGATTAGAAAGTATGAAACTATAATACAACGAGAGAGATCACAACCAAAGGATGTAGATCTGAAATCCCGCGGAGACTGTAGAGTGTGATAGAGTAGGTTGCGGTAGCAATCCTACTCCTCCACGATCCAAAAACGAAACGCGTGAAGATTCGTCTAGCATTTATCTAGTAGCGTGGAAGTTACACGCTGGCTAAATTCTAGTAGCGTATGTTTTCATCATTCAACCTAGTATGACTAGAAGGTTCATTGAGAACACTGTCTCAATGACTAATCACGAGAGACTCGTCATGAGTTCGAACTCAACCTCATCTAAGGATCGAGTGAATAAGGCTAAGAGCCTGTATTGCAGAAAGAACCGACTACCTGGCCCCTTGGACCTACAAAGCCCTTACAGAAGTGAAGCCGTGGGGTTACTATGGCTGCTTGATCGCTATAAACATTTTGCGACAAGTTACACAACATCACCACGGGTTCATCGACCTGGATTGGACGGGGAAGTCGGTGATCAACACAATTGGAAGGATACGCCCCTATTCGCACCGGTGACAAACATTACGACATCCTACTCGCCTGCCAACACACAAAAATTAGCTCATATGATTATGTCGGTAATTCAAAGTCAACACTTTCCTACGTGGCTGGACATGCCGATGCCAAAAAGAAACCACACCAAACTACCTGGTGGAACGTGAACAGAACATCGGGTTTCGACCGAGAAGCGAAGATTTTCCTGAGAGCAACCTGGGATTCGGGAGCCAAAACCTCCAACACATCGGGAGGCAAAGCTGGCAGATCTCATGGTCAGGCTCAACCCATGTCCTACTTGGACAAAAACAACCTCTACGAGCGTACGCACCCATAGTCAGACTTACTTGGCCGCAAGCTTGCTTTGCCACACAAGACCCCAGGAAAATCAACTGGAAGCCATCGAACCAGGCCCTCAGAAGCATGCCCAAAGGAAAACAACGCTGGCTAACCAAACAAACCACTGGTTTCTGTGGAGTCGGACGATCAATGCACCTCGGAAGATTTGGGACCACTCCGCTGCCCACGTTGTGCCCAAGATGATGAAACCCCTAAGCATGTTCTGCTGTGTCCTAGCCGGGGTGCACGACTTACCTGGGCTGAGGCATTGGTCTCCTTAGACAAGCACCTTCGCAAACTTGGCACAAATCAATCACTTCGGTATGGCATCATAGAACATCTCCGGGCTTGGGGAAAGAGGAGCCCTCCACGCCTGGGACCTCTCCGTGCCGACGTCAGAGCTGCACTCGCTGAACAGACTGAGATAGGATGGTACAACCTATTGCTCGGACGCATCAGCCACCGGTTCACCCAATTGCAAGAAGCCCACTACAAATCCCTAGGCAATCGCCGCAATGGTTTCCGCTGGACCACCGCAGTCATACGAAAACTTCTTGATATTTCCTGGGACATGTGGGACCACCGCAATCATATCAAACACAATGACCCACATCCAGCCTTCGACCCACACCTCCGAACTACCCTCAACGAAGAAATAAGGTTCCAATGGTCTCTAGGCGCCGCTAGCCTGCGCCCGGAAGACAGACCCCTATTCCGACATGGCCTCGACTCCATTATGGAGCAGACAACTACAAACAAACAACAATGGCTAGCTAGTGTGGAGAACGCCCGGTCTGCAGCGGCGGCAGACCAAGTCCAACCTCGCAATGATCAGAACTACGAACGTAACCTGATGGAAAACTGGATCATTAGAGGTCCACCAGCTAACTGAACCAACAACACTACAAACAACAAAAAAGGGCGCCATATCGCACCCACAGAAAACACAAACACTTCCATGTCAAGATGCATCTCATATATCCTTTTCTATACCCACAAACGGTTAAAGGCAAGCCCTAGCAAGAGGCTTGCATATACCGTTTTCAAATCTAAACGTAGAACATAATCCCTTCGGGGAAAGTGTAATTAATAAGTTAACAGCCACTGTCACTGATCGATGAACTCTACTGTAACTGGCTACGATGGCTGGATTGACAATGTTCGGTTGTGCATGTATTCGTCATAAGGATCCAATGCAAGGTACCGGTAACGGAGTGTAGCCAGTAAAGCGGAACCTGAGTGTGTTCGGTACTGTTGACACTGTCACGGATCGATGTAACTCTCTGCCTACGGTAGGTACCGTAGCTGGCTATACAATGGCTGGATCCAAGTAGCGAGCAAACTGAGGAAACAGGAGACCAACGCTGAAAAAAAGCCGAATTGTTTTTCCTGCTACGGTGGTCCCTGCAGGTATAAGGGTAGGGTTAGAATACAAATAAGTCAGCAAAAACTAAATAAGTATCCTAGGATGGTGCTTTTTTAAAAACCAGCTAAAGCTATTTACATGCATCCTAGTAGGGGGGTCTGCTTCTACCAGGAAAAACTCTGAAGCTACCAAAAGCTATATAACTAGTATTCTAGCTAGCTTGGGGTATCTGCTTCTAGCTTGCTCTGGGAATCTGCTTCCAGCTAGGGGATCTACTTCTAGCTAGCTAAGCGCAAGTTAAGCACTAGCTAGCTAAGCACTACAGGTATCTGCTTCTAGCTAGCTAGCTAATAGGGGTATCTGCTTCTACACTGAAACCTTTCTGCCGAGGTTACACAGCTCCGCTGGCTTAGTTGTGAAGGTTCGTCCTCGGTTCCCGAGCTTGCAAAATTTCTGTCCCAGGAACTCTAGTCCTGAGAGGATTGAAGAATGCTTTAATTTTTGCCACGCACCTCCAATGACGCACCCTTTCCGAGGTCTCCAAGTGGCGGCTGCAAGGAACTCTTGCAAAGCAACCCAACTCTGGAAACAACCACAAAACAGTTGCTGCCCAAATTGTTTGCGTTATTTCCTAGCTAGCGTTTCTCTGCATCATGAAACAGACTTTACTATTGCTTCCTTTCTTGGCTGGAGCCTGTCGCGGCTGGGTGGCTCAAAGACCTGGAGTAGGAGGATTTAAACGTTTGCAAAAATGCAATGCGCAAACGGCATTCTGGCAAGAGTTTTCCACCTTGGATGGGATTGACGAAGAATTTGCCGAACAGCAATGGTACCTGCCTTCAGTGGTCGAGCGAGCCTTGATTGACGAAGAGTCGTCCGTGAATCCACACCATCTCCTGCAGAGTCTCGACATGTCCACCAAGACACGAGAGCAAGCATTGGGGGCCTTGGCGGAATCGGATGCCATTGATACGTATTCCTCGATACTGACGCGCGACGAATGCTACATATTGCAAACGTACTTGTTGAAGAATGTGGAAAAAGAGCTTGGAATTGACAATGTGGACGACTGTGCCGACTGGCAAGTCAACCTGGATGTCGAGGAACTGGAACGGCTGATTGGCAGTCATGCCGTGGATCGCCTGTTTCAAGTACCGTCGTTGCTGGAAGATGATCCTGCGATTGACAACCGATCAGCGTTCGAACGAGTGGGAATTTTCATTCGAGTGTACGAGCGATCTCCACAGGGTCGGCCTTGGATGCCGTTCCATTCGGATGGCAACGCCTGGACGGTCAATGTGGCGTTGAACGACGACGCAGACTATGAAGGAGGTCGGCTCATGGCCTTGACGGATGGGGCACTGCAAGTCGTGGAGCGTGGACAAGGGGACGCAACATGTCACAGAGGATCTGTGTATCATGCTGTTTCTGCCATGAAACGGGGGAAGCGATATTCCATGATATTGTTCTTTCATACAGACTCCTAAGCAATCAGCTTCCTTGCGAACAAGCTACATGCGCAGAGATGGCAGGGGAAACAACAATGAAATCAATGTCAGTTGGCTGTCTGAGTACTCAAGCACAAAGTTTGCAACAATTCGACTTGAAGCTGAGGCAGGTTTCGAGGGCACGCAATCACCTTGGACCAGACTCCTCTTCTAAACCAGCTGACGTGTGGCCATGAGGTGCTGGTTCCACTGGAGCAAAATTCTAACACTGCAGAATGAATTCACTCCAAAAAATTAAAGAGATGTCGGTAGCAACAACAGTCCTCCATGAACAAAAGCAACAACCACTAAATGCTGCCATCATCCAGGCCTCTTTTGACAGGATGAAAGGGTAGATCGATTTGTGGTTTTTGCTGGGCTTGGGCAAAGAGAAAGCCTGCTGCAATGTTTGGTGCCACCATGTTTTACCCTTTGCTTGAGGAGCTCCAGTGCCTGGCAACCCTTGGGCATTGTTTTCTTTTCCTTGACCTTTGGGGGTAAACCTTGAACCAGCAACAGATAGGTTGCAGAGACTGGAGTGGTGTGATGTGGTGTGATGTGGTGTGGTGTAAAGAGATGTGACCATGTTCTTTTGAACGTAGAGCAAAGAAAAAGAGAGCTTCGGCCACAGCGTCCTCCCAAAATGTCTTTTTGGGCAGCTGCTGGTGTTACTACTGTAAGATAGCTTGCGTTTGCATTTCATCTCATACGATTTTGTCCCTCATTTGGATGACCATGCTGCCGATTCACCGTGCTATGGCGATGGTCAATGAGGAAAGAAGAAAAGATTGGGCCCCCACAAAGGGCCTTGAAGAGGAAAGAAGGCGTGCTAATCTTCGTACCTACCGAGAAATCATTCCTACAATGATGAGGGGGTTTGAGAGTAGGGAGTTTTTCTATGGAAGCCAGGGTGGGCCAGACTTAGGCAAGGAGGAGTTGAAAATTCAGGTCTATGCATAGGTTCCGTGGGATGGGGGGAGATACATTGAGGACCAACACACCCTTGGCTTTGCAAATCCATGGAGACACAAATGAGAGGCTTTGGCAAGTGCAATTCATATTCGAGTTTGAATGAAGAACATCATCTGAAAGCATGAGTACTGAGTATGTTTGTGTTGACAGCAGCAAAAAGATTCCCCCAAACTAAAATAGCTGACTAGCTAACTACCTATGCAAGAACACAGTTTATGCATTATTATTATTATTGTTATTATTGCGACGACACCTTGTCATCCCACGGCTTTCAACCCGAAGACAAGCAAAGAAACAAAGAATCATGGGCACGGTGATAGAGCACTGCTTCCAGCCACTTTCTTGTATACCAAATAGTTCCTAAGCAATCACCTCCATGTTTCATCAATGGTCCACAACAGACACACTCAAAGCATCTTTCTATCCTAACCAGTGCTTCGCAGTTAAAATTCGAGTGTTTGATGAGCCAGAAGTATATGCCACCAATGAATTTGGAGTTGTGGATTATGAGGTCCGCCACATGATTGACTACAACTATCTTGCTTCTATTGACCATGTGGATGCCAGAGATTATCTTGAACATTTGATAGCTCCAACACCTCCCTGCAATTCTGTGTGGGGGACAAATACAGAAGGAGAAGAGAGAGTGATTGGAATGCTGGACCAACGACTGCATGTAACACTCTACACAGGCATCGACAAGGGCTGGGTTCAACTCAAGCTCCAAAATGTCTTAGTTGTGCAATCTCTACCAGTACCCATGCATGTATCCTTCAATGCCCTCGAATTGTTCTACACAGGACAAATAGAGAGTTCCACAAGGTTGCGGGCAGACCTTTTCCCCAGTCAGTTTCGAGCCCATCCCTATTGGGGAAGGAAAGAAAAGGAACATTTCATTGGCACATTCGATCCTGAATTAACCCAGAGCATCCAAGACAATGCCACTGGGAGACCCAACAAAGTTCGAAAGGGTGGAGCATGTGCTTGTTGTGGTTTCTCCTTCTGTAGCCTGGTTTGTGCCAGTTGTGAGAAAGAAAACTACTGTTCTCGAGAGTGCCAGAAAGCCAGATGGAAGATGCACAAGAAGATCTGTGGCAATGGCCTTTCAGCCCCGACTTCGTGGATAATTCACACCAAACCACTCTCTTGATTCTAGGATAAGTGTCCTGGGATCGCCACGGCACTTCTTTCGTGTCCCCAATTTCAGCCACGCCTTCGTACGGTAGGGTATGTTAGTATGGTCCTTTTAATAAGCTTTTTAGTTTGACCCTTCCGGCTTGTAGCAATTCCCAATTCTCAGTTCCTCCAATATATCCAGGCATTCAATGCTTCTTTTTCTTTGCAAATTGCAATGTGCATGTCCTGAGGAGTTCCAATCCCTTCAATCAATAAAGACCACCCCTGCTCCTCCACCTGAAGCAATTGCGTGGCCCCATTGCAGACTGAAAGCTAAGCCAAGGTATCGCCTCAAAATGGAGGTTTTTGGCCCCATGTTGGTCCTCAATTGAACAAAGACCTCTTCTTTGCCTAAAAGCCGTGACCCCCTCAGCGGTGCCATACTAGCTAGCTAGCACGGTGGTACAGTCGTACTATGGTACGCTGGCCAGCAACAAATAAAGCTTGCTTAGGGTTCGAGGTTATGGCAGGCGGTCTCTCTGATCTTCTTTGTGAAAGATATGTACCAAAGATACTACGACCATGACGATGGAGCTCTCCCTTTCGTCCTTGTCTAGTGCCGCCCTTTACACAGGCCTCGCCTATCTACAGGGCGTGGTGACCTATAGTCTCGTTGCTTACGACATTCCAGCCACATCGTCCGAAAGCAATCTGAAAAAGACAATGGACTATTATACGACTCGAAAAGAAGCGGATCTTTCCTACAAGGGCGTCCCGGTGGCCTGTGTGCTATTGACGGGAGGAGTGTTTGCCAATATTGCGGTGCAACGAGGATCGGTCGGTTCTCTCTTAACTTTGGCAGCAGCTTTTCTGACCGCGTTCAACAATGGCAAAAATGTGGTAGACCCAGTCAACGCGCTGGCGGCGGATGCCAAGGGCGACAAAGTCAAGGAACGAAACCTGACCGAGTTCATGTCCGGGGTAACAAGAGGGCACTGGATCGACTTTGCTGGATTTACGACCATTTTCCTTCTCGTGACGTATCTGTAAGGTTGTGAAACATTTCTTTTGGGGGGAGATCAATGAGAAAAACGCTGAAACCGCAAACCTCCCACCCACCTGACAACCAAGCTGATGGATCCCGGGCCTGATCCCGGGCATGGGCTCTAACCACAACGGCATTTATCCACCGAAGCCTGATCGGATCTGGATTGCATGTATATTTCGTCTCCTGGAGACGATTTGCTTTAGGGGTAATGGTACCGATGGGGGCAGAGGTTTGAATTATACCCGGCGCGCGTTACTTAGAAGGCCCTGTAGAAGTCTACGTATTCGACTAGTATTGTATTGACGGGATACAGTCAACGCATGTACATGCACATGAAAGTCGCCTTGCGTTCTTCACATTTTAAAAGTTGGCTC